CAAAAGAAATTACCAACAAAGTGAAAAGGCAAGCCACAAATTTGGAAAATCTCATGACAAATAAGTACTCAGACAAAGGTCTGCTATCTATAATTTATAAAGAACAAAAAAACACTAGGGCCCCAAAATTTAAAGACTCAATCTACAAATGGGCATCCGAGATGAACACACACTTCCCAGAGGAAGAAATTAAAGAAGCAAATAAATATATGAAAAAATGCTCCACATCACTAGCCATCCACGAAATGTAAATTAAAAAAATATTGAGATATCATCTCACCCCAGAAAGAATGGCTATCATAAAGAAATCACCCAACAACAAACGTGGGAGAGGCTGTGAGGAAAAAGGAACCCTTCTCCACTGCTTGTGGGAACGTAGACTGGTGCAACCGTTATGGAAATCCATATGGAGACTCCTTAGAAAAGTTGGACAGGAAATCCCATTTCAACCAGCTATTCCTCTACTGGGAATTTTCTCAGAGGATCTGAGAACATCATATCATAGTGATATATGTGTGCTTATGTTTATAGCAGCACAATTTGTGATAGCCAAATCTTGGAAACAACTAGGATGCCCATTACCTGAGGAATGGTTGAAAAAGATGTGGTATTTTTACACAATGGAGTATTATTCAGCGATTAAGAATGATAAACTCGAAGCCTTTGTATTGAAGTGGATGCCACTTGAACATATTCTCATAAGTGAAATAAACCAGAAACACATGTGTAAATATCGTATAGTCTCCCTAGTATAGGAACTGAAAAGAAGAAACACAAATAGAAAGGTATAATACAAGTAAAAGGAAAGCAGGATCTCAAGGACTAATAAAGAGAGGGAAAGGAGAAGAGCTAGGAAACATGAATAAGTCAAGCCATACAGTTATATATAGAAGATGGGTAAGGCAATGATCCTGAGAATCTTCAGAAGGTTTTTTAATCTAGCAGTTAATTGGAAAGATTCTCACCCTGACTAACTATATATACTGATACCTGTGAACTAAGC